CATTATATAGACATATCTCCCCACTTGTTCATGCAGCTGAAGGACACTTGAATTATTTCCAATTTGGAGCAATTGTGAATAGAACTTTTATAAATATTCACCAAGAGGTTTTTCTGTGAAGGTAGGTTTTCATTTCTCTGATGTGGTGGTGTGGTGCATTAAATCTATTTTAGTACTCCAAGAAACTGTCAAACTGTGTCCCAAAGCATCTGCACCATTTTTGTATCCCCTAGCAATGGATGAGAGTTTATGTCCTAATAGGTACATAATAGTATCTCATTGAGATTTTAATTTTCATATTCCTAATGATAGATGATGCTGATCATCTTTTGATATGTTCATTTACCATCTGTTTTTCTTCTTTGATGGAATGTTTAAACCCTTGACCATGTTTTATTTCAGTTGTTTATTTTCTTATTGATAGTTGGGAATTAATATATATTAATTATATTAATTATATTAATATATTATATATAGAAAATAAATTTATATATATATATACATGAATATATCTATTTTTCAGGATACAAGTTCTTACATGTGATTTGAAAATATTTTCTCCCAGTCTGTGGGTATATTTTTATAGCAATGTCTTTTTAAAAAACAGAAATTTAATTTTACTTATCAACTTTTTTTCTTAAGAATTGTGCTGATGGTATCATATCAAAGAAATCTTTGCATAATGTAAGCTCACAGAGATTTCTCCTGGGTTTACAGGTAGAAGATTATTAGTGTTTTAATTTTGCATTTAGGTTTGTGATTAATTTTTAGGTAGTTTTTGTACCTGCATGAGTTAAGTTTCAATATTTTTACATATGAATTTACAATGATTTCTCTTCTTGAAAAAAAATTTAAAAAATTTTTCTCCATTTAGTTTCCTTTGCACTTTCATCAAAAATACATTGATCATATACATAAGCATTAGTATCTAGAATAGAATATTTTCTATTGATTTGTGTCTATCTTGTCATTAATTCTATATTCTCCTAATTACTACAGCTTTATAGAAAGTCTTGAAATACGTCTTGCAAGTCTATAGGGAAATGGTTCCTGGGTGGCCTTGATCTTCCCCCTCTTCTTTGACTCTTGGGAAAAATGTACTGAGAATGCAAAAATCTTGAGACAAGGAGGAATTCTTTGGAACAGCTCAGGCTGCACCCTCATTATTTCCAGAATCAATGCTTGCAATTCAGCATTCCAAGTGGCATTCAGGGAACTAAACCCAGAATGGAGTGCCTTGGGGTCCCTTTGCTACAGTATGATAGAGGGCATGTACAAATGAGGTTCAAGCAGCTTTCCTAAGTGTTGGAGGCCTGGTGTGTCATAGGTCTTAGGCTTTCACTATGCAGCTGTCTACCTGAGTAATAAAGTTGATTTGTCTTACTAGACTAGGTCTAGAAGGCTTTGCAGAGTCCTCAACATTGCTCTTCCTCTTAAAAACTGATTATTCTAGTCCCTTGCCTTTCTATATAAAATTTAAAATCAGGTTGTTGGTTTATATAGAAAAGTACCCTGCTGGATTTTGATTTAAATTTTATTGAGTCTATAGGTCAATGTGGGAGAATTGATGTTGTAATAATACTGAGCCTTCCCATGCATAAACATGGTCCACTTATTATGTGTTCTTTGATTTCTTTCATCAGAGTTTATGATTTTCAGCATATAGATCTTGAGTATTTTATTAGATTTCTTCCTAAATATTATATGGGTTTGATGCTATTCTAAATCATTTTGTTTCTAACTTCAATTTTAAATAGATGATTTGTAAATAGCAATAAAGCTTTATTATCAACCTTAAACATTATAATATTATTGACACTAACTAGCTCAGGTAGATTTTTTTTAGATTCTTTGGAATTTTCTATGTAGTCAATGTTAACTGTAAAGAGTTCGTATTTCTATTTTTTCAATGTGTGTGTTTTTATTTTATTTCTTAATAAGACCTCCAATATGATGTTGAATAAAAGCAGCAAAACAAATATTGTTGCCTTTACCCTTATCTTCAGGAAGAAGATTCTGTCTTTTATTCTGCAGTATGATATTAATACAAGATTTTCCTAGATGCCTTTGTCAAGTTATGGAACCTCCTGTTTCTAGTTTATTGCAAGCTTTTATTATGAAGAATACTAATTTATGTGAAATGATTTTTTTTGTACTAGGGATTGAACTTAGGGTCACTAAACCATTGAGCCACATCTCCAGCCCTATTTTGTATTTTATTTAGAGACAGAGTCTTGGTGAATTGCTTAGTGCCTTGCCATTGCTGAGGCTGGCTTTAAACTCATGGTCCTCCTCCCTCAGCCTCCAGAGCCTCTGGGACTCTAGGTGTGTGCCACTGTGCCCTACTTAATTTTTTGAGATTATTATATAGTTTTTCTCCATTAGCCTAGTCATATAGTGATTACATTGACCTATGTTGAATAAGATATGTATTACCAGGAAAATAAACACGACTTTTTTTCAATATATTATCTATTTTGTAAATTGTTGGACACTGATAGAGTTTAAAAAGGAAACCATCTATACCTGGACTTGTGTTTGTTTTGCAGTGGGGTTATTATTATAGTCTATTGGTGGGAGGGGCAGATTTGGGATACAATTTCTTTCATAGATTCAGAGGTCATGAGGTAATCTACTTTTCCTGAGCAAACTTTGGTTATCTGTGCCGCTCAAGGAATTTAATTTCTTCTAAGTTTTAGAATTAAAGAATACAAAGTTGTTCTAACACTCCCTTATTAGACTTTTAATATCTATAGTACCTATACTAATGTTCCCTCAATCATTTCAGATATTGGACATTTGTTCCTTCTCTCTTCTTTTCTTTGGCTCACTGATAAACAACATTGATCTTAACAAAGAATTAGCTTTTGGTTTCATTGATTTTTCTTGTGCTTCTGCTTTTAATTTCATCAATTATTTGATCTTTCCTTTATTATTTTCTTCTTTTGTTTACTTTGTTTTGATTATTCTTTTCTAGTTTCTTAAGGGGAAAATGAGTTCATTGATTTTAGACCCTCTGTTATTTTCTAATACAAGTACTTAAAGCTAACAATTTTCCTTCAAGCCCTACTTTACATGCATCCCACTTATTTTGACATTCTTGTGTTTCTACCCACATGCCATTAAAAATACTTAATTTCCTTTGTGACTTCCTGTCTATCCTATGAGTTACTTGTAGAAGTTTATGGTTTTTATTTCAATACATTGAGAGATTTTCCAAATATCTTTCTGTGAGAACATCTGATATTATTCTGCATCTTTTGGGTATTCATACTATGTTTTCTTCACTCCCTTTCTTTTGTTTGAGTAGGATAGTTCTCCTTGACTCATCTTCACATTCACTGCTAGCATCCTCATCTTTGGTAAGACTACTGATAAGGCCATCAAAGGAATACTTCCTGTCAGTAACTGTCTCTATAATCGCAACATATGGGGCATCTCTGGAGCTGAGTCTGTTGATTGCCTTGCTCTTTACTATGGGTTACTTTTTTCTTCCTCTTTTTTTTTTGGTATCCTGTTATTTTTTAAAATGATGGGATAATGTCAAACATAATTTTTAAACAATCCAGACTGACATAAACAGCAAAGAAACATGTACATGTCTTCTCCTAAGCCTTTAATAGGAGAGGACATAAGCTGACATTGTCTAGCTTTGAGTTTTGTTTTCTGTGAGCTACCTTCAATTCTGTATGAGGTTTCTCTTAGTATTTCTATTTCACTCCTAGCCTAGTTCTTCCTTGCTGCACCTGCGTCTAAGAAAGTATTCCTGCCCTTGTTTTTTCTCTACTGGGAGACTACAATGCTTTTCCCTTAGGGTTTCTTGGCCCAGTGGGGAGAAGGAATGAGATTCTCTGTTGTTTTTGTCAATCCTCAGTCTTTAGCATGTCTCTGTCTGATTTTTCTGAGTTTCTGGCTGAGCGAGGGAAAAGTCTTTCTCTGAGGTCTTGTCCTCTCCTTCTCCCCTTCCCACCAACATTAGGAAAATCTCTACTGCTCTCAACCAAGGACGGCTTCCTGCCCATCCCTGAGGAGCTCACAGTTCATTTATTGTCCATTTTCCATTTCTGGCATGTGCTGTCTCTCATCCAGCAAGGAGGTCCACAGAACAGGGTAGAGGAGAGAAGCTGCAGAGTCACTAAACAAGACCTCCAGAGACCAAGTAGGAAGCAGTTCTGATTTTATTGTACAGCATATATATACACACACAATACATTCAGGCAGTAGCTAAGCAGATTACAGGAAGCCACCAAATACAATTTTTGGCCAACTGTCTCTGCAGTGACCAATCAAGGAGGGGGCCATGGAGCAAGTTCAGGGACTGCAATACTTGGCCTCATGCCCAGGGCTATGCCTATGGGGTAAGTGGTTTGCCATCACACACCTAGCACGGGGAGTGGTTTGCCACTCAGATGCCCTTAATGTATGCCATGTATGCAGTAATCCATGCACTTGTCCCCCACATCTCCTATCTCTGACTGTGCAGCAAGGACTTCAACCAGCATTGCTGTTTTTTGTTCAGTGGCCTTTACATGGTTACATAAGTGTCTCACAACAACAACAAAAAATTATCACTATTATAAACAGCAGGGCCAGGGTAATAGCATTATAAGGATTAGTTAATTTGGTTATCAGGCTTTTCCAATGTTCAGTCAATCCCTGGAAGAAAGAAGAGGCTGTCAAGATAGATACCTGAGTCTCATTGATTTTAACAATTGCCTTGGTAAGGTTATGCATAGTCATAACTTAGCATCCCAAGCACCCTTAATATACTGAAAAAAATTAGAGAAGTGTAAAATTAAATTTTCAGATACAGCATATTGGGTGATAAAAAATACTGTGGATTCAGCATCACAAATGAGCCTTTGCAACATAAACAGAGTATCTAGTTGTTCCTGGTGGAATTCTAGTTCTTGCTGAATGACTAAAATAGCAGCTCAGGACAGTTTATTTAAGTCTCTTTGAACGGCAAAAGCTTCTATGGCAGTAGACAAATTATTTACAGTCTGAGTAGTCTGGATACTCTGAGTGAACAAAGCAGTAGCAGTGGTTGTGGAGGTGATGGAAGCTACCAAGGCAATAATTCCAGGAGTGGTGCAGCTAATTTCATGCCTTGTCCAGTGCAGGATCTCATTAAGAAATTCTTCATCTCCATGTCCCATGGAATTCTCCACTCTCTGGATAGGTTCACTGGAAGCCAGGTTGCTGGGAGTACTCTAAGGATAAATATACATTTAGATTTCATCGGGTTTAGACAATTTATGAGGCAGCAGGATGTATTGACTGCACAAGGGACCTCTGTATGAGTTATATTTATGCCATCAGTATCATTGATTATTAGCATGGCAAAGGGTGGTGTAAAACAAGCTTGTGCATTGTGGGTATGTGTATAATTTAGCACAAAGGCAAATCCATGATAAATCTGGACTCAATATAGACCCATTTATCCAGACGGCTGCTGCCTATTTGATGGGTCTAGCAGCTGGTAATATTGGCATGATATCTATCATGCAATACTGATTTCCTACATAAAGGTTAGTAATGGCTTGTCCCATGTAGCAGTTACTGCAGAAGCTCATATAGCTTTGGGGCACATCAGTTACATTCCACAGAGCTGTGCCCACTCAGTGCATAGATGTTGTTCTTCCCCAGAGAAATTCCTCTTGTCAAGGAGATAAGGCATGTCAGTGACACATTGATTCCACGGGATGCTATCATTATCTGAGGGGGGTTTTCCTAATAGCTTTGTTGGACATGTTGGAAGCAATAGTTTCTTGCAGTTGCCATGGGGGAGTTTATGGCTATAGGTAGTATTAACTATAACTCTAATATCAGTGAGAGATAGCCCAACACATGACTTATTATATTTATCTACAATAGTTTCATTGGCAAGAATAAAACAGAGGGGACTGCCTGGATTATAGGTCTCATTATCTATTACAGAGAAACAAATATGCAGAGTGAGTATGGAAATGCTGGTATTCCAAGGTACAGTTACCTCCTGGATAGATAACTCAGGATGGAATTATTGGATAAGAGCTTAGGTAAAGCCCCTTCCCAATTAGCAACAACCAGAAGGGTGGTCTAGTGACCAAGACCCAATTTACCTGGGCCATGGCACTGTTGGTGGTTAGAGCTGTGCATAAGAGTAGAAAGAAGACCTGTCCAGGAGGATTAGAATCATGACCCTGGCTTTTTTCAATATTATTGGACTGCTGTATTAGCCCTTTTACAGCACCCCATGTGACCCTGTGATGGAGTCTCCTCTGACATCTTCTTGCCCTCTTGTAGTTTTGTTGTTGTTGTAGTTGTTTGGTTTTGGTTTTGTTTTTTTTTTTTTTTTTAGTTGTAATTGGACACAATATTTTTATTTTATTTATTTATTTTTATGTGGTGCTGAGGATTTAACCCAGTGCCTCTCACATGCTAGGCGAGTGCTCTTCCACTGAGCCACAACCTCAGCCCTGCCCTCTTGCAGTTTTGCTTCCTCTCATCTTGGAGCATGCAGCTGGCTATCATGGTAGGTAGGCATCCAGGGTCAGACATGGCAGGCTGGAATCCAGATGGGCTGTGGATTTTTTTCTGGGAAGACACAAGCAAAACCCCTACCCAACACCAGGAGCAGTGAAGGCTCTGACCACTGATTAGTTAAGGGGTCTTTATATTGCACTAAGGGTAAGTGGGATGGCCCCATCAAGGGAGCCCAATGCTTGAAGGCATGTGCAATCATCATCCATAGGCACTGTTAAAAATCTTAAAGTAAAGAGGATAGTATTAAGAATATCATGGGGAGAACTTTTGTTTAAAAATGGCAGCCTTTAGCTCTTTGTGGGCTCTTTCCACTATCCCTTGCCCTGGGGATTATAAGGAACATTAGTGGATTATTTAACATTCCACTTGGAACAGAACTCCTCAAAAGCTGTACTAGTATATGTGGGGCCATTTTCTGCTTTTATTTGATATGGTACTCCCATGGTTGTAAAATAGCCCAAGAGGTGAAAACACACGTTTGTATTTTTCTCCTGGGGTTGCTGTTGCCAGGAGGAGCTACAAGTAGGCATCTATGCATACATGCACATATTTTAAATGCCCAAAGAATGGCACATGAGTGATATTCATTTGCCATAGGGCATTGGACTTTAGACTCCTAGGATTAACACCTGGTGGTTATAAAGATCCTATGGGCAAGAAGAGAGTGCATTTAGTAATTAGCTTGCAATTTTCTTTTGTTAATTGAGGGAGTAGTTTTTGCAAACTATGGGCTGATTGATGGAACTTGCTATGTAGCCTGATCGACTTTTCAGGCAAGGAGGTTTCATAGACTACACAAGCCAGGTTATCAGCCTCCTCATTTAGTTGTGACAAAGGCCCAGGCAACCCAGAATGGGCTCGAATATGTTGAATGTAAAGAGAATTAGTCCTTCCTTCTAGGAGGGTTTGAATAGATTTTAATTGGTATCATTTTTTGTGGAAGCAAAAGGCAGTCTAAGAATAGCCATGGCACAATATTGACTATCAGTTACAACATTAATAGGTTCAGGGAATTTTTGCAAGACCAAGTTTATAGTTGATAATTCTATTCCTTGGAAATACCCAGGGGAGTAATTATATTGGAAGGTCCTTTTTACCCTGGTATCAGGGTGGAAATATATTATGCCAATTTTCCCCGTAGAGCTGGCATCCATGAACACCAAGGTTACACAAGGAATAGGCTGGCCCACTATTATCTTTGGTTGCTTTAGAGGCAAAAGGGAAATGTTTTTCAGGATTCTTGATGGAGGCATATTACAGCCAAGGACCCCAGTGAAATTAGCCATGGCCACTTGGAAATTAGGGCTAAGCATCATGAGATTATTCACCTCTGAAGTTGTGAGAGGAGTTATGAGCCTATCTGATTCTTTCCCCAGCACTCACAGTAGGAACCTTCTCAATGAGGTAATGCATCTGTGAGATGCTTTTCACTTGGCTTTGGACTTTTCTTTGTTCACTTGAGGAATAAGTGCACCCATGATATGATATTGTCTGGCTCTTGCCAGATGACTTCAGTAGGAAGCCCGGGAGTTAGGCATTCTATTGCCCAGACATCCTTCTTAGGGTCATAGAGATTTATCACCATGTTGTTTAGGGATGTATTAACCAATTCCAAAGCCTCAAGACCTTCTGGGGTAATCTGTCAGGGGGAGTTTAAATGTGGGTTTCTCTTTAGCAAATCAAATAAGAGTCTCATTTGTTGAGTAGTGATCTTTAAAGAAGGTCTAACCCAATTCAGATGCCCCAGGATAGTTTTCAATTGGTTCAAGGTAGATTTTTCAGGGAGAGCCACCTGAGGAACTGCTTGCATAAACACTCCTGGCAGGATGGAATGTCCTAAAAAATTAAAAGGGGGTTCCCTTCAATTCCAATTCATTGAGGTTGTCAATCAAACATGCAGGATAGCCTCTTTTTCGTGTGCTAAGAGTAGGGCATCCATGTAGTGTACCACAAAATACATTTATATTGTTCAAGGCCTCTTAGTGCTTGAAAAACAAACAACTGACAAAGAGTGGGGCTGTTTTTCATGCCTTGTGGTAATATTTTCCATTGAAAACATTGTGCGGGTACTGAGTTGTTGATGACAGGTACCATAAATGCAAATATTGTTTATAAGCCAGAAGCAGTGGAATTGAGAAGAAACAGTCCTTTATGTCCAGTATGCAAATTTTGTAGCTTCTTGGAATACATTGGATCAATGGAAGCTCAGGCTGAGTGGTGCCCATCTTTTGCATGGTCTCATTTATGGCCCACAAATACTGATGTAATCTCCATTTGCATTTTGCCTTTTTTTAAAATACAAAAGATAGGGGTATTCCATGGAATTTGAGAGGGCTCGATATGCCCCAAAGCCAATTTCTCTTTTATCAATTCCTGGATATGCTACAACTTTTCTTGGGAAAGTAGCCACTGTTCCACCCAGACCAGTTAATCAGGGAGCCATTGCAACCGTATTAGGAAAGATGCTGTAATACAAACAGTGTCCTTTAATATGGAGGGACATCTGAAATCCTCCTCTCAAGGTTGGGTCTTTTAAATCTCTGTCCATTAGGTCATCATAGAAGGCCTGGTCATCAATAGTGAGCACTGCTCCCTTGGAGCCCAAGATATCTGTGCCAAATAGGTTGTTAGATATTCCTTCCACCACCAGAGGGCATTGGTCCCTTAGTTGCCATCCATGTCCTCCTATCTTCAGCCCTATGCTGCCTGCCAAGAGGGGGTTAGCCGTCCAACACCTGTAACATTGGGCCTTGGTTTAGTGGCCCATGACTTGAGTACCTCCTCCAATCTCAGCAATGTTAAGTCAGCCCCTGTGTCCATCAACCCCTTGACAATTTTCTTATTTATCTTTAGCATTGCACTGGGTTTAATGTCTTCACTAATAGGGATTGTCCTCCATGTTCCAGGACCACTTATATCCATCTGATTGGTTGTTTGGCTTTGTTTTTGTTTCTCTCTGTTTGGTTCCTCCCTTAGTCATGGGGCTGGGGGGGGGTGCCCTGAGAGGTTCAAAGGCTTTTCTGCACAATCTTGGCTTGACTGACAGTCTCTAGCTCAGTGCCATCCCTTCTTACACTGTGGGAAGAGGCCCAGTTTGTCCCCTCCTCTCTGGGAAGGGCACTCTCAAGAGAGATGTCCTTTTTCTCCACAGCTCCAGCACCCATCTGCTCTACTTTGGCAATTCAGGAACAGAGCTGAGAATGTCGAGGCCACCAGCATGGCCTATTGTCCTGATGTCCCTATATCTTGAGTGGCCCAAATCCAGTCATCCTGTGTGCCATTGCATATTGGTCCCACTGCTGCTCTATGTTCCTTATTTAGTCCATCCCAGATCAACTCCTTGGCTAAGGCTGCCGGGGCTCCTTTATGAGACACCTTCCCTTCTACCACCTTGTTTACTCTGTCAATAAATGGTGGCAAGTCCTCAGTGGCTTTCTGCCTTAAGCTCTGTATAGAAACTGTATCTTCCCTAGCTGGCAACTTCCTCCAGGTTCTCAGAGCACAGAGCCACACCTGATTGAAATAATTTGGTGGACCTTTGGCTTGTACTACAGAGGAACTGTAGATTCCTTCTCCCTGAAAGCACTCAGCTGGGAAGTTAACATTTGTGGTGTGGTTATGACACCCTGCTGTTCACAGTCATCATAGAAAAATACCTTTCACTTCAAAAATGTTGTGGGCTCCAAAGCTACTTTGGCTAGGACTTTCCAGTCTTGAGAGCAATTAAGTTCAAGCCCCCAAGATCCATCCTCTTTTATTGCCTTCTTTAACTCCTTCAGGGTACCCAATGCATGTGGGTACCAAGTGTCAGGGAGCTGGTGTGGGAGCCAGGTTGACCGGGAAGGTTTGTACTCCTTTACCCCACTTTTCATATCTTTCCTACATAGATCTTCAGAAGGATCTCTGGCTTCCTGGAATAGATTTCTGGGAGACCATGGCTTGGGCCTGTCTGGTGGCCTGGTCATTTCTAATCTGTCATAGTCCCTTTCTGGCTTTGGCGTTGCCTCCCAGGGAGGCAATTGCTATTGAAAATAATCTTTGCCTGTCAGTGGAAGGTGCACCTGCACCATTCATGGTCACCTCTTCCTGCACCATGAAGGCTAGTGGTACCATTTCCTGCCTCTCTCCCTCCTGCACCTGTTGTAGTTGCTTGTTTTGAAGTAGATTCTCACCTCTGTTTTCCTGTGCCTGCTGCAGTTGCTTGCTTTGAGGTATATTGTCATCCCCTCTTTTTTCCCCTTGCCTGTCTTTCACAGACTCATCTTCCCTCAGGGCCATCATTATATGGCAAGGGTTTGTCACAGGGCCCCCTAAACTTTGCTGAATGGCTCTCACAATAGGAAAAAAATGTAGTGGCATAGTATATCCCTGTCTCACTTCAGCTTGCTGTGCATTTGCCATTGTCTTGTCCCATATCCTAGGATCAAAAACATCAGCAACACTTATCCATGGACTAGTATCAATAACTACATCCCAGAATTTGTAGGCTTATCTCTTATTCAGGGTTAAACCTCTAGTGTCTAAGAGAGTGCACAGCACTTGCAGCTGCAACTCTTTGGTGGAACTTGGTAGGTTCCCCATTTCCCCTTTCTCATTGCTCTGTGAGGGACCACAGCCTGTGTTATAGGCTTACCTCAGGTCTTTGTTCGGGTTCCAGCTGTGTGGGCTCTCTCTAGTCCAGTGAGGAAGTCCACAGAACAGGGTAGAGGAGAGTGTAACTGTGGAGTCACTAATCAAGACCTCTGGAGAACAAGCAGGAAGCAGGTCTGATTTTTTTGCAGTTACCATATATATATATATATATTTATTCAGGCAGTAGCTAAGCAGATTACAGGAAGCCATCAATACAATTTCTGGCCAACTGTCCCTGCAGTGATCAATCAAGGAGTGAGCTGTGGAGCAAGCATAGGGACAGCAACACGTGGACTCACACCCAGGGCTGTGCCTACGGGATAAGTGATTTACCACTCACACGCCTAGCACAGGGGAATGGTTTGCCACTGAGATGCCCTTAATGTATGCCATGTATGCAGTACTCCATGCACTTGTCCCCATACTACTCTCTCCCTAGCCCACCTTCAGACTTTAGCAATTCTTTAATTAAAAATATAAATAAGATGAGAGGGAAGTATTACATCAATGATGACAAGTGAGTTTTATTTCAAATGCTTACCTTCTGATATTTGGTCACTTCATTTTCTTTATTTTTTTGTGATTCCTTGCTTTCTTTTTTAAAAAATTATTTATTTACTCATTCTAATTATGTATATGTAAAAACAGAGTGCATTTTTTATTAGTGTAATTGTACACAATTACAGCACAAATTTTATTTCACTGGTTGTGTATACAATGTAGTGTCACACCATATATGCAGTCACACATGTGATTGGGTAATGATGTCCATCTCATTTCACAATCTTTCCTGCCACCATGCTCCCTTTCCTGCCTTCTCTCCTCTTTGCCCAATCACAATTCCTCCATTTTTCCCATGCCCTACCATAATAGATCAGCATCCACTTATCAGAGAAAACATTTAGCCTTTGGATTTTGGGGAATGCCTTACTTTGCTTAGCATGATATTCTCCAACTCCATCCATTAACTGCAAATGCCATAATTTTATTCTTTTAATTCTTAATAATATTCAATTGTGTATATATATCACAGTTCATTTACAGGGGCATCTGAGTTGGTTCCACTATTTAGCTATTGTGAATTGAGCTGCTATGAGCACTGATGTGGTTGCATTACTATAACATGCTGATTTTAAGTCTTTTGAGTATAGATCAAGGAGTTGGATAGCTGAGTCAATGGTGGTTTCATTTCATTTTTTCCAAGGAGTTTCCATATCGATTTTCAGATTGATTACACCAATTTGCAGTCCCACCAGCAATGCATGAGTGTGCCTTTCCCTCAACATTCTCGCCAACACTTATTGTTGTTTGTATACTTGATATTGCCATTCTGACTGGAGTGGAATAAAATCTTATAGTAGTTTTGATTTGAATTTTGCTAATTACTAGAGATGTTGAACATTTTTTTCATACATTTGTTGGTCTTCTTCTGAGAAGTGTCTGTGCAGCTCCTTAGGCCATATTGATTGGGTTGTTGTTTTATTTTTTTTGTTGTTGTTGTTTTTGCTTTTGTTTTGTTTTCTTTTTGGTGTTATTTGAGTTCTTTACATATCCTAGAAGTTAATGCTCTATCTGACATGTGTTTGGCAAAAATTTGCTCCCCAAAATGTAGGTTCTCTCTTCACCTTATTGTTTCTTTTGCTGAGAAGAAGCT